CCTCTGCTGGTCCCTATGACAATGCGTCTACCCAGCAGGAAGCAGTTACAGAAGATGGACCTTTGACCTGTGCCCTTCAAGAAAGAGGAGCAGGAGAAAACTAGAGAAGGGATTTTGTCACCAAACTAATTGCCCTGAGGAACTCGAGGGTGGGTTCAGAAGAAGTTAATTGTTTTTCCAAATTGTTCTTTTTCCTTTTGTCATGTTAAGGAGATGAAATCACCAACCACCCTGAACCAGACCAGGCCTCACACAAGAGCTACACCTATGACGTTACCCTTATTTCTAATGCTAAGATCTCTCCAGGAGGAGCTTAGGCCTTGTTACCATAACCTGCAGTGTACGCAGAAGCATGTTTCCACCTGAGCCTGCGCAAGAGGATACCCTCCTCTCCCTTTTGAATATTCATTCTCCATCCAAAATAAATGTCCCTGCTTCCCTTTGCTTGGAGAGCCACAACTTTGAAAATGACTCCTCATGGCCTACTTGCTGCAGACGTACCTCACTTTGTGTGACGACTGCTTCTGATGGAGAGTCTGATTCAACTCACCAGGAGGGAACCCACTTTGGTTTCAGTAACAAAAGGAGAATCTGTGGTATTTGAAGCACGACCATTCCCACCCTCCTCCTCATTCCCATTCTCCCCTGCTGGCTCAGCAAGGTGGAGACCACTGGAGCCAGAACCCAGGGCTCCCTCTCTCCCCAGTCCCAGCGGGAGGACTTTCTTCCTGGGAGGAGCAAGATACCAGCATTTCTCATGCCGCCTCCATCTATCTGTTATTGAGGCTCAGTCCCAGGAGAGTGTGGGGGAGAGGTTGGGGTTCCCTCTTCTACCCAGTTCCCACTCATGGAACGGAGGCTCACTTTGGTGGCATTATGCTGAGAATACTGGGGTGTTGATCCTCCTTGCCCCACATGAGGTGGTGGTCGCATGCCAGGAGAGACAAGCTGAGAGGATCTCAGGCTGCTGTTCACATTCACCAAATGCTGGGCTTCTGGAGCAGGGATGTCACTCAGAGAGCAGCTTGCCACTGTCCCCACCCCTGAATCCAGAGCCCTGGCTTATAGATTTTACCTGAAGGGACAGCACCTGGTCTCTTCCCAAAGGAACGGACTGCATTTGCCCCCTTAGGGAAATCCAGTCCTAAGGGCACTCTCAAGAAAGAGGAGGTTGTGGGGGCTGGCCTGGTGGCACAGTGGTTAAGTGTGCACGTTCTGCTTCAGCGGCCTGGGGTTCACTGGTTCGGATCCCGGGTATGGACATGACACCGCTTGGCAAAAGCCATGCTGTGGTAGGTGTCCCATATATAAAGGGGAGGAAGATGGACAACGATGTTAGCTCAGGGCCAGTCTTCCTCAGCAAAAAGAGGAGAGGAGGATTGGCAGCAGTTAGCTCAGGGCTGCTCTTCCTCAAAAAAAAAAAAAGGGAAGGTTGTGTTGAAAGGCAACTGGGAGAATCAAGATACAGCTTAAATTACAAGCCCTCTAGTTTGCAAGGGGGAGACCGGGGAATAAGATAGCTGGGAGGAATCCACCTGGGGTCAGAAAAAGTATCACTGATCTCAGAAACTATTCCTTTCAAAGGAATCAGAATTTGACTGAACTAGTTTGTAGAGAACTGAGCAATGAGCAAGCAATGAGTGGAGTTTCACAGCTTGGTGTGGTCAAGAGAGGAAGGGAGCCCTACCGAGACCACTGCTATCCAGGTTGCCCAGGGCATCCCCAAAGCTGTGCCTTCCTGAGGAGCAACAACAAAGGCAGGGGTGGGGCTGGGACAGACTTCACTAAAATAATCCGGCCAGTCACTAAGCAAACAACTATGCAAATAACAATAATAAACTACGGAGGGGTGGGGGAGCAGTACCCAGACTTGCTACAATATATCTAAAATGACCAATTTTCAGTAAAAAATTATGAGGCATGCAAAGAAACAGGAAAGTAAGACCCACACACTGGAAAAAAGCAGGCAACAGAAACTATCCTTGAGAGTGACCAGATGCTGGAAAAAGACTAAATCTTTATGAACATATTCACAGAACTAAAGGAAACTATGATTAAAGAAGCAAAGGAAGGATTATAAAGGAATACTACGAGTAACTGAGTACCAACAAATTAGATAATTTAGATGAACGGACAAATTCTTAGAAAGACGCGAACTACTCTGACTGACAAGAGGAAACAGACAACCTGAATAGACAGATAACAAGTAAAGAGATTGTAGTAGTAGAGGGAGAGGGGGAGGAAGGAAGGAAGAAGGAAGGAAGAAGGAAGGAAGGAAGGAAAGAACTATGCACAAAGAAAAGTCTGGATGGCTTGATTGCTGAATTCTACCAAAAACTTATAGAACTGATACCAATTCTTCACAAACTCTTCCGAAAAAGAGGGAACACTCCCCAACTTATTTTTATGAAGCCAGTATTACCCTGATACCAAATTCAGACAAAGAAATCAAAAGAAAATAAAACCACAGACCAATATCTCTTATGAATATGGATACAAGAATCCTCAACAAATTATTAGCAAACTGAATCCAGCAACAGACATATTTTAAGAAGTTATATACCATGACCAAATGGGATTTATCCTAGGCCTGCAAGCTTGGCTCAACATTGGAAAATGACTCTATTAATCATGTTTTTTTCCTCTATATTTTATGATGCTTTGACCTGGGGCCAGGAGATGGCCCTCCTAGGGATATTGAATTCCTAGAGATAGTAAACAACTTGCCTTTCACGCGAACCAACCAATCCAAAGTCCATTTCCCAAACGCCTCCTTTATTTAACTCCTCCACCAAGCCAATACTTTCCCTGCCCTAAATCAGCCACGACCAGGTACCTGACGATGAGAGAGCACCCTACAGCCCAGAGCCCACTGAAATCGCTCACACTATCCCATCCTAAGATTGCTCAAACTTACCTACCATGCTCTGCCCACTCCTTCCTGCAGAAACCACAATAAGGCGGTGTGGTATGCTCCCTTCTCTTGGGAATTTTAAGGCAGCTGTCTCTGTACCTGTCACCTTACTACATCTGATTAAAACAAATCTTGGGTGCACTTTAAAATAATGATTTAACGTAACACATCATATCAATAGAATAAAAAACAAAGGTCACATATCTTAATAGATGCAGAAAAGGCATTTGACAAAATCCAACACCCTTTCTTGATAAAAACACACAACAAATAGGAATAGAAAGGAACTTCCTCAATCCAATAAAGGGCATCTATGAAAAATCCATGAGTAGTAGTCATAGTTACTGGTCAAGACTGAACGTTACCCCCTGAGATCAGGAAAAATACAAGAATTTCCACTCTTGACGCTTTTATTCAATATTGTATTGGAAGTTCTAGCCAGGGCAATTAGGCAGGAAAAGGAAATAAAAGTCATCCAGATAGGAAAAGAAGTAAAATGATCTCTATTTGCAGATGACATCATCTTGTATATAGAATATCCTGAGGAATCCACTAAAAAAAACCCATTAAAACCAATAAATGAGCTCAGTAAAGTTGCAAGATACAAGATCAACACACAAAAATCAATTGTATTTCTATACACTTTAAATGAACAATCTGAAAATGAAATTAAGAAGACACTTCCATTTCTAACAGCACCAAAAAGAATAAAATACCTTAGGAATAAAGTTAACAAAAGGAGTGCAAAATATATACTCTGAATACTACAAAACATTGCTGAAACTAAAGAAGATCTAAAAATTGGAAAAACATCCCCTGTTCACAGATGAGACGACTTAGCATCGTTAAGACGGTGATATTCCCCAAATTGATGTACAGATTCAACGCAATCTCTATCTGAATCCCACCTGACTTCTTCATAGAAATTGATAAGCTGACTGTAAAATTCACAGGGAATTCCAAGTCACCCAGAATGGCCTAAACAATCTTTAAAAAAATAAAAAAGTAGAATTCACACTTTCCAATTTCACAACTTAGTACAAACCAACAGTGATCAAGGCAGTGTGGTACTGGCACGACGAGAGACATGCAGAGTAATGTAATGGAATTGAGAGTCAAGAAATAAACCAAGCCATCTATGGTCAACTGATTTCACAAGGCTGCCAAAATGGGGAAATAACAGCCTTTGCAAGAAATGAGGCTGGGAAGACTCGATGGCCACATGCAAAAGAATGAACTTGGATTCTTACTTCATACCATATACAAAAATTAACTCAAAATGGACCAAAGACTTACATTTAAGAGATAAAACTATAAAAGAAACATAAATCCTCATGGCCTTGGATTGGCCAAAGGATTCTTAGATATGACACCAAAACCATAGCTAATTTTTTAAAAATCGGACTTCATCAAAATTTTTGTGCTCCAAAGGACACCATCAAGAAAGTGAAAAGACAACCCGTAGAATGAGAGAAAACTTGCAAATCATCTATCTAATAGGAATTGTATCCAGAATATATAAAGAACAGCTCAATATAAAAAAGATAATCTAATTTTAAAATGAGCAAAGGATCTGAATAGACATTTTTCCAAGGAAGATATGCTAATGGACAATAAGCACATGAAAAGATGCTTGACATCATTAGCTATCAGGGAAATGCAAATCAAAACCATGAGATAACTTCACACCAACTAGAATGGCTAAAAGAAAGTCCGAAAACAAGTGTTGGCCAGAATTGGAGAAAGTGAAACCCTTATATTGCTGGTGGGAATATAAAACAGTGTGGCTGCTTTGGAAAAATCTGGGAGTTCCTCAAATGATTAAACAGATACCATACAACTCAGCAATTCCAAGCCTCGGTATATAACCAAGAAAAACGAAAACACGTCCAAAAAAACTTGTCCAAAACACTTGTGTGTTTATAGCAGCATTATTCATAATAGTCCACAGGTAGAAACAACCTAAATATCCACTGTTCCGCCACAGGCCCAGCTGGGCTAGGACAGCGGGAGATCTTGCCGAGAGACAGAAGAAACGACCCGGGGACTGTGAACGAGACATATAGGTTTATTGGGTCCTACTTACAGGAGCGTGTCCAGCTGCAGCCGGATGGATGGAAGCGTGCACCCACAACCGGCCCCCAAGAGAAGCTTGCTTAAGTAGGCAGAGGAACAAAGGCTGCAGGCTTGCCAAGGGGCTGTCCTTGGTACGACCAGCGTTCCCAGAACAGTAGGTCACATGGAGGGGCTGTGTCCCTGTAAGACATGATGTTCTTCTCGTGGGATAAGAGGATCCGGGCTGGCCAGGCCCAGATCGTTACAAATCCCGGTAGCTGGGCTGCCTGCCCAGAAGGGAGCCAGGACACATGGCTGCAATGGGCCTGGGGGCTTTTGCTGAACAAGCAAGGCCCAGGTCCCAAAACCACTGTTGAATGGATAAACAAAATGTGGTATATTCATACAATGGAATATTATCCAGCCGTAAAGAGTTTTTTTTTTAAAGATTTTATGTATTTATTTTCCCTTCTTCTCCCCAAAGCCCCCCAGTACATAGTTGTGTATTCTAATTGTCAGTGTCTCTGGTTGTGCTATATGAGACGCTGCCTCAGCGTGGCCTGATGAGCAGTGCCATGTCCGCGCCCAGGATCCGAACTGGCAAAACCCTGGGCCACTGAAGCGGAGCTTGTGAACTTAACCACTGGGCCACGGGGCCGGCCCCTGAGAAATTTTGATGTACGCTGCAACAGGGATAGACCTTAATTAAAAACGTTATGTTAAATGGAAGCAGCCAGGAACAAGACTACATATTATATAACCCCATTGATATGAAAGGTACAGAACGAGGAACATGTAGAGGCAGAGATCAGATTAATGGTTCCTTAGAATTGGGCAAGTAAGGATAAGTAAAGGGTACAAAGATTCTTTTTTGAGGTGATAAAAAATGTTCTACAGCTGGTGACGGTTGCATGTATCTGTGAATATACTTAAATCATTGAATTGTACCCTTTAAATGAGTGAATTTACAGTATGTAAACTATATGTCAAAAAGACCATTTAAAAGAGATTATGGTGAAAAACTATAGCAGATAACATTGAGAACTTGTCAGGCACGATGCTCACTGATTTATGTTATTTCATCTAGTCTTTCTAACAGCAACTCTGAGATATCAATACCTTCACCTTACACATAAGGAGACCAAGGCTCAGAGAGCTCAACACGTTGCTCAGTATTACGAGGTAGGTGAAATAATCAGGTATCCAACCAAGTTCATGACTTCAAAGCTCCTGAGAATGCACTGCCTCTTATATGTAGCAAAGAAAGTCTCCTAACATTGGTTCTCTGATCCCATAATTAAGACAGACTGGATATGAAGTCAGAAACTGAGGCAGGGTCCACGTCACCCAGGAGGCATTACAGCTATCCAGGTGTGATCCACAACCTCTTGCCCTCAGAATCATCTCTTGAATTCATCCCCTTTCCTCCTTGCTACTAGTCTAATCTAAGCTAATCAACTCTGGTGGCAGACTTTTTTTCATGGAGCCTAAAGGCTGTGTAAACACGCAGCTGTTTCAGTGCCTCCTTCCATGTCCTGACTGACTGTTTAAAAACTCAGTTACTCACTCGAGCAATATTAAAGGCCACACCCCTGGAATAACTTTCAGTGTGTTGATGGGTTAGGTTATAAAATGGTTTTATTTCCTCTTTTTTTTGCCAGAACATTTAATTTACTGATCACAAGTTAATTCTTTGACACTTTTTTTGATCAGCAGCCTGAGAAATCATGCCACCTTATAAGACAAATAGTGGCTATACTTAAAGAGATCTAGTTCTATATATAAAGTTATCTAATTATATATCTGCCTGATTGCTGGAATTTTTTCTGCAATTTAGATGAACGTTAAGGGACAGGACAGAACTGATACCAATTGAAAACGTGCACAGCAGTGTCGAATATTGATGGACAAGAGAGAAAAAGCAGGGAGTTGTACAAGTGAGAAGGAAGACCTTGTATCCGGTCATCGTTACCTTGTATCCCATTCAAGATCGGCTACTGTCAAATAAGCCTTTGCATGTTGTTCTGATTAGCACATCCAAACCGTAATTATCCTAACTTAGGCTCACCTCCAATGCTTCCCTCTCTAGGAAGTCTTCAAGATCTCTCCAGGCAGAATTAACTATACCCCTTTCTCTGGGTGTGAAGTTATCTATGTTACTATTACGGTACATAGTGCTATGCAGTCATGTGTCACTTAACGACTGGGATCCGTTCTGAGAAATGCATTGTTAGGCAATTTTGTTGTTGTACAACAAAAATAAAGTACATATGTTGTACAAACATCATAGAGTGTACTTACACAAACCTAGACGGCGTAGCCTAATACGCACCTAAGCTATATGGTACTGATCTTCAGGAAGCATCATTATGCAGCATCTAACTGTCAACTATTCACTTACATAAGACTATAAACTGCTGGAGAACAAAGGACCTCCCTCCGCATCCTCAGTCTCTAGGACAGCGTGTGACCCAAAGTCAGAAGTTCACCAAATGGGTCAAATGTTCAGAATTATCTTGGAATTTAACTAATGCATTGATAATCAAAGGCAAATGATTGCTATAAGGTCTCAGAATGAGTATAATCCATATTTTATCCTAAAATGTTGTAGCAACGCAATTTAATGATCAGTTTTTGTAAAAAGTTATATAAATACATTTACACATAATTCCATTTAAAATATATAGTTCATTCAGAATTGACAATTTGTTTGCTTATGATCTATTGTTACTGAGGGAAAAAAGTACATTTATTAAAAATAGATAGCACATGTCTATATTCACCAAATGCATTGATTTAAAAAATTATTAACTTGACAGTACATTTCTCGTCAATTTTTTTATTGTGCTACTAGCACAAAGGAATGCAATTAAGTGTTTACTGAATTGTTTAGATCTTTAAATTACTCATTTAACAAGTTCATTTAAATAAGTTTAATATTCCATAAATGACAAGCAGCTTAAATACAAGTTTGATAACTATCATTAAAAAATTAATAAAATGAAAGTCATAGTTAACTTTTCAACAAGGCCATGTAACATTTATCACTAACCTGACTAAAAGGCCGCACTCGCACTGCCACTTTCACACTGTCAACACTTGGCATAGGCATTTTCATCATTTTCCCATTATTTGCATCGTTATTTGGTAGAAAAATAATGTAGAAAGCACACTGCTTATGCTTCACACTAAAACATTAAAAGCTTAGCCAACAAAAGCAGTTTGTTTCTAGACAATCAATTATTAATGGCCCATTCGTTACATACTATCAATTACCTGTTATAAATTATTTAACATTTACTTATTGATCACTTTTACAGCCTACATCAAGTATCACCACTGAATTGCACAGTCATACTGCAGAGAACAGTTTTTCACTTTTTTTTCTTTTCCTTGTTCCACATCCACTCACACTCTTTCCCCATCCTCAATAGTCTGTGCCTGAGGTGCTATGAGAATCCGTCAAAGTTTGAAAACCTGAATATTAAGAGACTTCTGTTATTCAGTAGCAACCTCCTTCACAGCAAGAACACTATAAAATTTGTTCCGCCTTCTCATTCTGTCAGTATCAGGGTACACACAGGTGCATGGAACAGCATGGAACGGATCCGTGTTACATTTCCCTTCCTTCTCAAACCCTTGTAAGAAGTTGCTAGTGAGCAGTGAACCGGTCAGTCTAACCTGGATAATTAGTCTCTAAATAATTAAGAGGCTTTAAAGGTAATAGCCTTCAAGCTAGCTGAACAAAAAATGCCAACATTATATTTTAACCAATGCATTACTTGGAAAATTACTCATTTGAGGTAGAATATACAAAATTTGTTAAACTACAAAAAAGTGGCAAAATTACATGTCCATAATTCAATTTCAACATAGTAACAGCCAAAAAAAGAAAACCAAACCCCAAAAAAACATTTTATGATTAGAAATCTTAATTACAGAAGCAAAGTGCATAAATTATAAAACAGCAACTTTAAAAAAAAATCAACAGTTCAATCATCCTCATTTTAAGAGCGGTCTAATAATACTTTTAACTGTAGAGAAAGAAAATAGGATCAATATCTATTAGCATAAAAAATCATTATTAAAACAGAAATCCCCTCTCAAAAATCTAACAGACACAAACTACTGTGAAGTATACACTTTATTTAACATTTCAGTAGTAAGCCATATTTACATATTATATAAAGGTATGAAGTCTTAATATAAAATAGAAAAAACTGCCTGGACTAAAAGAATCACACTCCATATGGAGTTACTTTACTTATTGAAGACCTTCTGTTTATAAAAATTTACAATAATTTATATAAATTATTTTCTTCCAAAGTAGATGACTTTTAATAATCCACACAATTCTGATGACTTTACAAATAGGTGTACATTAAAAACTTGAAAAAAAATTACAGCATTTTTCTGCGTAAAACTTGCTTTGGGAAGGCAGACAATTTCTTTCTGCTCCTTCCAAGAGCCTTTCCTGTTACTTCTGCAGTTTTTCTTGGCTTGCTCTTTATTCCATCAATTGGGCTTGCCAAGGGAGAAATCAGCTTAATTTCTACTGGAGGAGGTGACCAACTTTCTTTTTCTGTGTTTCTGAAAAAAAAGAAGATACAATTCAAGTAAGAAGAAACATATTATAATATAAAATATAATTGGCTTCCCAATATATTCAAAGAAACCTTATGATTACCCTATCCTAGTGCTTTCATTTTATAAAAGAGAAGTGAATTGGGATACACAAAAACAAATACTGCTAAATTTTCTTTTAAACGTTTTCATATGTATGAACAAATACTGCTGGGTTACAATGACGGGCCAAGTACCAGTAGTCAGTCCACGGAATGAGAGCCCAGTAGGTTCATGAAATGTATGAGAAACGGCAACGGCAACTCTCAAACACCAGCAAGTGGCAATTACGTATATATTTTTTCACATACATATAAAGTCAATTTATATGTAAACAGTGTTATTAATTATGGCTAAAAGTCTCATTAAATCAGTTTTTAAGGTAAGATAAAATGGATTACTTTGTACTTTCATGAAATTCAACCATGACTGTGCACAAATAAATCTGAAATGGAGTAATTTCCCCCATAGATGAAGTTTTATTGCTATTAGTGAAATAATCACAGGATTTTTTTTTAAGTTTACAATTATTTTTTACTAATAGTTATCTATCTTTACTAAGAAAAAGGTGAAACATGCCCCCCACCCCCCGCAAAAACAGCAAGATTCTCTGGGTACTTAACTGTCCCCACCCGA